ACGGCAGCTGAGGAATTGTTTTCAGAGGAGAAGGGAAGGGATGATGTCCGTAGCTGTGTCAAACCACGTTATTAAACCTTTTAAATAACAATGCTATGTCTCACTATAAAAACCATTTTAAAAAGCTGGTAAAAACAAATATCACTGGACAGGGGGAACTCCCCTGCCAAACAATAACATTTCTCCTCCTCTTCACCACCTTCCACAGACGCCCTCAACTCTCTTAAAAACGACAGGTAAACCGAGAATCAATTTGCATTTATTTCCCTATTTATTGCATTTAGGTTTTCTATATGATTTATACATGATAGGCTTGTAGTGTTAAAGTTAAATTCAAGTAAAAAATATCTACATAGTTTTTTGGGTCTAGAATGGATCAATCCAGTTTACATTATTCCTTATAGGAAAAAAATTGTTCGGTACTCAAACAGGTTGGCACTTGAACAGCCTTCTGGAACAAATTAAGTTCGAGTACCAAGAATGTTCATGTATCTTTGCTCGAGCTTTAAATATCTCCATGGTAAAGAATTTAAAATAAAATTTGTACGTCTGTCTTTCAGACATAAAACATTTACATTTATTATTATTCTTAGATTAAGGACCTGCCCGAAACGCTGCGCGTGCTAGTGGCTTTACAAGACTGTAATTACCATAATTGTATCCTCACATTCCTTATGTACATTCTTGTATATGCATAAATAAATAAATAAATAAATTAATGCATGTACATGAAATAACCATTGTTCTGAGAGAGTTCACTGCTTGGTCAATCATTCTATGCAGGTTTAGAGCGTGGCAAGCAACAAAAAAACTAATTTGATTAAACTTACTGATACCTTCGGTTTTATTTACTTTATTTATATACAAAAGGTCCACTGGGTTATGAGAGTACATAACACTGGTGTTAAAGCATTACATTCTTGCAAAATTTGACTACGACATGAATAGCATTTTGGGCAGGTCCTTCATCTAGGTGATGAACTTTAATAAAAATAGTAAATATTTTAACAAACTATTTACTTAAACTATTCTTCTGGTAGAGGTTGTATATACTGTACAGTATAGATTATATTTCCATCTTTCTTTTGACATAAATAATTAATGCTTATTAAGTTATCAAAATTGTTTCAACAGTTTTCTTTGGGCACTCATCTGTTCCAACACAGTTGCACATTTCTGAAATCCTATACTGTACATGGGTTAACCTTCAGTTGGGTCAGATTCCAATAAGGTGCTGAACACCCACAACAAGCTTATCTTATCTTGAGGTTATCTCGAGATGATTTCGGGGCTTTAGTGTCACCGCGGCCCGGTCCTCGACCAGGCCTCCACCCCCAGGAAGCAGCCCGTGACAGCTGACTAACACCCAGGTACCTATTTTACTGCTAGGTAACAGGGGCATAGGGTGAAAGAAACTCTGCTCATTGTTTCTCGCCGGTGCCCAGGATCGAACCCGGGACCACAGGATCACAAGTCCAGCGTGCTGTCCGCTCGGCCGACCAGCAAGCTGACTAGCTCCTGAGTACCTACTTACTGCTAGGCAGACAGGAGCATTAGGTGATGGGAAATGAGCCCAACCATTTCTGTCTCGCTCGGGATTCAAACACAGAATTCTTGAACAAGAGTCGAGAACGAACTCGACTGTACTACTGTGATCCTTATATCAACAATTACAGTATATCACTATATCAACGTCACATTACATCAACTTATATCAACAATAATAATAATAATAATAATAATAATAATAATTTTTATTTAGGTAATTAGGTACCCATCAATTAGATATTTAGGTAATATTATATTATATCAATATCATAACTGTAGGTTATGATATTATTATTATAACTGTACCTACTTGATACCTGCTTGATGGGGTTCTGGGAGTTCTTCTATTCCCCAAGCCCGGCCCGAGGCCAGGCTTGACTTGTGAGAGTTTGGTCCACCAGGCTGTTGGTTGATACCTGGTTGATGGGGTTCTGGGAGTTCTTCTATTCCCCAAGCCCGGCCCGAGGCCAGGCTTGACTTGTGAGAGTTTGGTCCACCAGGCTGTTGGTTGATACCTGGTTGATGGGGTTCTGGGAGTTCTTCTATTCCCCAAGCCCGGCCCGAGGCCAGGCCCAACTTGCGAGAGTTTGGTCCACCAGGCTGTTGCTTGGAGCGGCGTGCAGGCCCACATACGGTAGGTAGTAACTGGGTGATTGTAACCTATCCATAGCTCCCCACTGAATGGGGGGGGGGGGGGGCAGTGTATAGGATAAACATATAAATTGCGAAACTTGCTCTCCACATGTCAGTTGCGTAATTTAGAAACAGTCCTTGTAGCGCTGTGGTAAAATACTCTCCTGGCGCTTCGTAAGCGCTTTGGCCTGGGTTCGTATCCTGGCCGGGGAGGATTTACTGTGCAGCAATCCTTAACTGTAGCCTCTGTTCATCCAACAGTAAAATAGGTACCAGTTGTTAAACGATTTGGCAGGTCGTATTCCGGGGAAAATTAGGATTAAGGACCTGCCCGAAATGCTATACGTACTATTGGCTTTACAGGAATATAAGAACTCTTGTTTAAATAAATAAAAATAAAAAATAAAAACTGTACTTGTGGTGGGTCTCGAGCCCATTGTTGATGTGACGATGTGCATTGAATTTTGTAACTCATCAAGATTGTAACTTGCTTAGCTAAATAAATTGTGGGGTTCAGTCCCTGAGCCCATTATGTGCCTCTGTAACCCTTTCCACTACCACCCACAAGATGGGTATGGGGTGCATAATAATTGAACTAAACTATCAATATCAACTTTATTATCAAAACATCAACTAATTGATATTATTGATATTGACATCATTGATTTTATTATATATATAAACTTATAACAACACAATATTATTGTTGATACTGTATAATAACAATGGGTTCGAGAGGGACCACAGGTACGCTCTCAAGCTATACCTCGAGACTGTCACATTGTTTACATCAACATACATGGTACAGTGATACATGGTTTACCTTATCACATCGGAACACCCATTTGTAGTATCCATCTGATTAGGTAAACCATGTATCGCAATACTATACTATATGGGGTAAAATATATATAAAACTAAACTAATTCAGTGCTGTAATGACAACCACTGGTGCCGACCCCTGCGAGCCACCCCTAGTGCTGACCCCTGTGAGCCACCCCTAGTGCTGACCCCTGCGAGCCACCCCTAGTGCCGACCCCTGCGAGCCACCCCTAGTGCCGACCCCTGCGAGCCACCCCTAGTGCCGACCCCTGCGAGCCACCCCTAGTGCCGACCCCTGCGAGCCACCCCTAGTGCTGACCCCTGCGAGCCACCCCTAGTGCTGACCCCTGTGAGCCACCCCTAGTGCTGACCCCTGTGAGCCACCCCTAGTGCCGACCCCTGTGAGCCACCCCTAGTGCCGACCCCTGCGAGCCACCCCTAGTGCCGACCCCTGCGAGCCACCCCTAGTGCCGACCCCTGCGAGCCACCCCTAGTGCCGACCCCTGCGAGCCACCCCTAGTGCCGACCCCTGCGAGCCACCCCTAGTGCCGACCCCTGCGAGCCACCCCTAGTGCCGACCCCTGCGAGCCACCCCTAGTGCCGACCCCTGCGAGCCACCCCTAGTGCCGACCCCTGCGAGCCACCCCTAGTGCCGACCCCTGCGAGCCACCCCTAGTGCCGACCCCTGCGAGCCACCCCTAGTGCCGACCCCTGCGAGCCACCCCTAGTGCCGACCCCTGCGAGCCACCCCTAGTGCCGACCCCTGCGAGCCACCCCTAGTGCCGACCCCTGCGAGCCACCCCTAGTGCCGACCCCTGCGAGCCACCCCTAGTGCCGACCCCTGCGAGCCACCCCTAGTGCCGACCCCTGCGAGCCACCCCTAGTGCCGACCCCTGCGAGCCACCCCTAGTGCCGACCCCTGCGAGCCACCCCTAGTGCCGACCCCTGCGAGCCACCCCTAGTGCCGACCCCTGCGAGCCACCCCTAGTGCCGACCCCTGCGAGCCACCCCTAGTGCCGACCCCTGCGAGCCACCCCTAGTGCCGACCCCTGCGAGCCACCCCTAGTGCCGACCCCTGCGAGCCACCCCTAGTGCCGACCCCTGCGAGCCACCCCTAGTGCCGACCCCTGCGAGCCACCCCTAGTGCCGACCCCTGCGAGCCACCCCTAGTGCCGACCCCTGCGAGCCACCCCTAGTGCCGACCCCTGCGAGCCACCCCTAGTGCCGACCCCTGCGAGCCACCCCTAGTGCCGACCCCTGCGAGCCACCCCTAGTGCCGACCCCTGCGAGCCACCCCTAGTGCTGACCCCTGTGAGCCACCCCTAGTGCTGACCCCTGTGAGCCACCCCTAGTGCTGACCCCTGTGAGCCACCCCTAGTGCCGACCCCTGTGAGCCACCCCTAGTGCCGACCCCTGTGAGCCACCCCTAGTGCCGACCCCTGTGAGCCACCCCTAGTGCCGACCCCTGCGAGCCACCCCTAGTGCCGACCCCTGCGAGCCACCCCTAGTGCCGACCCCTGCGAGCCACCCCTAGTGCCGACCCCTGCGAGCCACCCCTAGTGCTGACCCCTGCGAGCCACCCCTAGAGCTGACCCCTGCCAGCCACCCCCTAGAGCTGACCCCTGCCAGCCACCCCCTAGTGCCGACCCCTGCGACCCACCCCTAGTGCTGACTCCTGCAAGCCACCCCTAGTGCCGACCCCTGCGACCCACCCCTAGTGCTGACCCCTGCGAGCCACCCCTAGTGCTGACCCCTGCGAGCCACCCCTAGAGCCGACCCCTGCCAGCCACCCCCTAGTGCCGACCCCTGCCAGCCACCCCCTAGTGCCGACCCCTGCGACCCACCCCTAGTGCTGACTCCTGCAAGCCACCCCTAGTGCCGACCCCTGCGACCCACCCCTAGTGCTGACCCCTGCGAGCCACCCCCTAGTGCCGACCCCTGCGACCCACCCTCTAGAGATCCCCGACGACAGACATGACACACACACACAGCCTCACCTGGACAGGAGACACGAGACATGAGATACAAGGCCTCGCTCAGCAACACAGCAGCTGAGGACAACTCAGCAGCAGCAGCTGACGACGACTCAGCAGGTGACGACAACACAGCAGCAGCAGCAGCTGAGAACGACAACACCTCCACCAGACCCTGGCTGATAACGTCGTCTGCTTGAGCTCCTCGCCCACACGCCCACACTTCAACCTTTCCTCCTCTAATCTCTCTATTATCAAATATATACACAAAAAATACAGCCCTGTATTAATTTTGTGTGTTGTTGAACATTTTGATAAGAACGTACTTTATTTTCTCCCCGTGATAATTCGATCCTAAAGTCGACTTTGAAAATCCGAACACGTTCCTGCAAATGAGACAATAACAATGATAATACAATATTAATGTTACTTTTGTTCATGTTCTTGTTCATGGTATGATATTGTAATATGTTTTTTGACTTTCACATGGAGAGTATATACAGTAGTCTTTTTACATAAGCCTTTTCTAGCCAATTATATTATTTTGTCGGGGCACAGGCAGCCTGTGTCTATGTAAATTTACATGGATTTACCTGAGGGCACTAACATACTAGTGGCCTCGATTAGGACAGGAAGCCGGTAGCTTGTCAAAGCCCCCCCCCCCCATTTGCCCTGGTGATTTTTTTTCAAGCTGGATTTTAAAGTTCAGCAGAGTTTTGGCATTTACGGCCTCGGCGGATAGGCGGTTCCATCCCTGGAAACACAAACCGTAACTGACCCTATTTTCCGCTTGTTACAACTTGTAATAAAGTTGTTACATCTTGGGTTAACGTGTTTATGACGTATTAGAACGTTGTTACAATTTGCTATATTGGTTTTTATAATTGGTTAGGTGTTAAAACTTGTTCGAACGTTGTACCAACGTCGTAATTTCGGTGTGTGTTTGGCGGGATGGGTTTATAACCCTGTGAGTGAAGCAGCATCTCCTGTTCTCAGTCCTACATTGTTGCTTGAAGACAAACTGTTGTTGTTGTTAAAGATTCGCTACCTGGAACAAAAAGTTCAAAGTAGCACGGGCTATGGTGAGCCCTCATTAACCGAAGACAAACTAATGTGAAGAACAGAAGTTTATCTCAATCTCAGGCAAAACTGAGCACAGTCTCCACTGTTCTGTGTGTTTAGCGAGTATACTATATACTTCTTGAGGTGTTCTCAATGAGGGGAGGGAATTATCAAGGAAGAGCGTCAAGTCATCACGACTATATAGCACTTGGAAGGGGTCAGGATAAGGATTTGGGATGGGACGGAGGGAAGGAATGGTGCCCAACCACGTGAACGGTCGGGGATTGAACGCTGACCTGCACGAAGCGAGACCGTCGCTCTACCGTCCATTCCAAATGGTTGGGTGTTCTTAATAAGTATAGTTGTAAATTTAATAATGCCATGTTAGTTGAACAGCTGGTGCTTATCGTAATGAGATCTGTTTCTTATTTTTGTAATACAATTATTTGTAATAACTTTATAGTTGAGCATGAAAGATGTTGTCAGGTGTTGTAAAGCAATGTGCACATTCAGGACTTGTCTGTTATTAATATGGCTGATGTCAGCTGTGATCAATACCGACAGTAAGGGATGTGTGGGAGGACACTACTGAGAGAGAGACAGAGAGAGAGAGAGAGAGAGAGAGAGAGAGAGAGAGAGAGAGAGAGAGAGAGAGAGAGAGAGAGAGAGAGAGAGAGAGAGAGAGAGAGAGAGAGAGAGACAGAGACAGAGAGAGAGAGAGAGAGAGAGAGAGAGAGAGAGAGAGAGAGAGAGAGAGAGAGAGAGAGAGAGAGAGAGAGAGAGAGAGAGAGAGAGAGAGAGAGAGAGAGAGACCTTTAGCCCCTGCTATTGCTTTGCTCTTCAACAAGTCACTTGAACTCCAAACCTTTCCAGATATTCTAAAAAAAGCGAGAGTAACGCCTGTCCACAAATGTGGTGATCTCACAGATGTTAACAACTACAGACCTATATCAATCCTGCCAAACTTGTCAAAAATTTTTGAAAAACTAATCTATAAGCAGCTTTACTCATATCTAGCCAAACTCAATATACTTAGCCCTTGCCAATATGGCTTCATACCCAAAAAAAACACTAACGATGCACTTATTAGTATGCTTAACTCGATTCATACAGCTCTTGATAAAAAGGAGTTCCCTGTTGGGTTGTTTGTGGACCTGCGTAAAGCTTTTGATACTGTCAACCACCAAAACCTTCTTCATAAATTACATCATTATGGTGTCAGAGCACACTCCCTACAATACCTCAAATCCTACCTTACTGACAGGCTCCAATATGTTTCTGTGAATAATACAATTTCTCCCACCCGACCCATCAACATTGGTGTTCCTCAGGGCAGCATACTTGGCCCTCTCCTCTTTCTCATCTACATTAATGACCTTCCAAATGCCTCCCAACACCTCAAACCAATTCTATTTGCTGACGACACAACCTTCATTTACTCCAGTCCTGACCCCCTTGCTCTAAATGCCACAGTAAATACTGAGCTAAATAAAGTCCATCTTTGGCTAACTGCCAACAAACTCACCCTTAACATTGACAAAACTTTCTATATTCTGTTTGGCAATAAATCCTCTAATCAAATAAATCTCAAAATAAACAATACCCAAATTTGTAACAATTAGATGGCAAATTCCTTGGCATTCTCATTGACCACAAGCTGAATTTCCAGGGACACATTCTAAATATATCAAAAAAAGTTTCAAAAACTGTGGGCATTCTTTCTAAGATCAGATATTATGTACCACGCCCTGCCCTGGTGACTCTCTATTACTCCCTTATCTATCCATATCTCAACTATGGTATTTGTGCTTGGGGCTCTACTACCCAAAATCACTTACGTCCTCTAATTACTCAACACAAAGCGGCTATTAGGACAATATCCAACTCTGGCCCCAGGCATCACTCGGTACCCCTACTCAAATCTCTGAATATGTTAGACATTAAGTCACTGCACATTCTCTCATGTGTATTATACATATATAAAACGTTAAACTATAATACCAATCCTGATCTCAAAAGCTTCATAGAAGGATGTAACAGAACCCATGAGCACCACACCAGAAATAAATACAGTTTTGATATTCCTAGAGTACGACTTAATCAAATTAGCTCTACAAATCAAGGGGCCCAGGATGTGGAATGACCTTCCCAACCATGTTAAAGACTGTACCTCTCTCAACCAGTTTAAGTCAAAAACGAAGCTATACCTAATAAATTCCCTGTAACCAACCTTACCCTTCTACTGTCAACCAATGTCTGGTTTTTTTAAGAGCGCTGTTTGTTGACATAATTATATTTGTGCTGCTTTTTCATCTATGTTTTCATTTCTTGTTTTCATCTACTCATTATGCTCAATTAGTATTAAGCTTGTCATTTAAGTTTATCATGCCCGAAACGCTTTGCGTAATAGTGGCTTTAGGCATTGTATGTACTAGCTCTACCTATAAGTCAACCAATCTTTGTAAAAATTTATTGTATGTATGTACCTTACCTAAATAAAAATTATTATTATTATTATTAGAGAGAGAGAGAGAGAGAGAGAGAGAGAGAGAGAGAGAGAGAGAGAGAGAGAGAGAGAGAGAGAGAGAGAGAGAGAGAGAGAGAGAGAGAGAGAGAGAGAAAGTGAGAGAGAGAGAGAGAGAGAGAGAGAGAGAGAGAGAGAGAGAGAGAGAGAGAGAGAGAGAGAGAGAGAGAGAGAGAGAGAGAGAGAGAGAGAGAGAGAGAGAGAGAGAGAGAGAGAGAGAGAGACAGACAGAGAGAGAGAGAGAGACAGAGAGAGACAGAGAGAGACAGAGAGAGAGACAGACAGAGAGAGACAGAGAGAGAGAGAGAGACAGAGACAGAGAGACAGAGACAGAGACAGAGACAGAGACAGAGACAGAGACAGACAGAGACAGAGACAGAGACAGAGAGAGAGACACAGACAGACAGACAGACAGACAGACAGACAGACAGACAGACAGACAGACAGACAGACAGACAGACAGACAGACAGACAGACTTGGTAAGAAAAGGCTGGGATTTTGAGGAGATGGATATTCAGGGCTGTGAAGGTTTCAGTGACTACATAGCAGGTACTGTAACAAATGGAGGGAAAAAAATTATAGTCGCAGTCATATATAATCCACCACCAAATGACAGAAGACCTAGACAGGAATATGATAGAAACAACATGGCCACCATTAACATAATAGAAAGAGCAGCTTCTGTTGCTAGCAGGAATGGATCTGGACTACTAATTATGAGAGACTTCAACCATGGGAAGATAGATTGGAAGAACAGAGACCCGCATGGAGGACCAGAAACATGGAGAGCTAAGCTGCTGGACGTGGCAACAAGAAACTTTCTAAGCCAGCACACCAAAGAACCAACAAGAATGAGAGGAGAAGATGAACCAGCAATGCTTGATTTGATATTTACCCTAAATGAATGGGATATAAGGGAAGTTAAGATGGAAGCGCCCTTGGGAATGAGTGACCACAGTGTATTGAACTTTGAGTACCTGGTAGAGCTAGGACTTATCTCCCCCCAAAAAGAACTAGGAATCAAAAGGCTGGCATACCGAAAGGGGAATTATGAACAGATGAGAAGTTTCCTAAGTGAAATACCTTGGGACACAGACCTCAGAGACAAGTCTGTACAGGGTATGATGGACTATGTTACCCAAAAGTGTCAGGAGGCAGTAAACAGGTTCATCCCGGCCCAAAGGGAAAAATCCGAGAAGCAACAGAAGAATCCATGGTATAATAGGGCATGTATGGAAGCGAAGAAACTGAACAAAAAGGCGTGGAGGAACTTCCGGAATAACAGAACACCAGAAAGCAGAGAGAGATTTTTTTTTTTTTTGAAGATATATACAAGAGTTGTTACATTCTTGTACAGCCACTAGTACGCGTAGCGTTTCGGGCAAGTCCTTAATCCTATGGTCCCTGGAATACGATCCCCTGCCGCGAAGAATCGTTTTTTCATCCAAGTACACATTTTACTGTTGCGTTAAACAGAGGCTACAGTTAAGGAATTGCGCCCAGTAAATCCTCCCCGGCCAGGATACGAACCCATGACATAGCGCTCGCGGAACGCCAGGCGAGTGTCTTACCACTACACCACGGAGACTGCTAAAGAACCAGAGATACCAGAGAACCAGGAATGAGTACGTCAGGGTGAGAAGAGAAGCAGAGAAAAATTTTGAAAATGATATAGCAAACAAAGCCAAGACCGAACCAAAGCTACTCCACAGTCACATCAGAAGGAAAACAACAGTGAAAGAACAGGTATTGAAACTTAGAACAGGCGAGGACAGGTATACAGAGAATGACAGAGAGGTGTGTGAGGAACTCAACAAGAGGTTCCAGGAGGTCTTCACAATAGAACAGGGTGAGGTCACTGTGCTAGGAGAAAGGGAGGTAAACCAGGCGGCCTTGGAGGAGTTCGAAATTACGAGAGAGGAGGTCAAGAGACACCTGCTGGATCTGGATGTTAGAAAGGCTGTTGGTCCAGATGGGATCTCACCATGGGTACTGAAAGAGTGTGCAGAGGCACTTTGCTTGCCACTCTCCATAGTGTATAGTAAGTCACTAGAGACGGGAGACCTACCAGAAATATGGAAGACGGCGAATGTGGTCCCAATATACAAAAAGGGCGACAGACAAGAGGCACTGAACTACAGGCCAGTGTCCTTGACTTGTATACCATGCAAGGTGATGGAGAAGATCGTGAGAAAAAACCTGGTAACACATCTGGAGAGAAGGGACTTCGTGACAAATCGCCAACATGGATTCAGGGAGGGTAAATCTTGCCTTACAGGCTTGATAGAATTCTACGATCAGGTGACACAGATTAAGCAAGAAAGAGAGGGCTGGGCGGACTGCATTTTCTTGGATTGTCGGAAAGCCTTTGACCCAGTACCGCATAAGAGGCTGGTACATAAGCTGGAGAGACAGGCAGGTGTAGCTGGTAAGGTGCTCCAGTGGATAAGGGAGTATCTAAGCAATAGGAAGCAGAGAGTTACGGTGAGGGGTGAGACCTCCGATTGGCGTGAAGTCACCAGTGGAGTCCCACAGGGCTCTGTACTCGGTCCTATCTTGTTTCTGATATATGTAAATGATCTCCCGGAGGGTATCGATTCATTTCTCTCAATGTTTGCGGACGATGCTAAAATTAAGAGAAGGATTAAAACAGAAGAGGACTGTTTGAGGCTTCAAGAAGACCTAGACAAGCTGAAGGAATGGTCAAACAAATGGTTGTTAGAGTTTAACCCAACCAAATGTAATGTAATGAAGATAGGTGTAGGGAGCAGGAGGCCAGATACAAGGTATCATCTGGGAGAGGAAATTCTTCAGGAGTCAGAGAAGGAAAAAGACTTGGGGGTTGATATCACGCCAGACCTGTCTCCTGCAGCACATATCAAGCGGATAACATCAGCGGCATATGCCAGGCTGGCCAACATACGAACGGCATTCAGAAACTTGTGTAAAGAATCATTCAGAACTTTGTATACCACATATGTCAGGCCAATCCTGGAGTATGCAGCCCCAGCATGGAGTCCATATCTAGTCAAGGATAAGACTAAACTGGAAAAGGTTCAAAGGTTTGCCACCAGACTAGTACCCGAGCTGAGAGGTATGAGCTACGAGGAGAGACTACGGGAATTAAACCTCACTTCGCTGGAAGACAGAAGAGTTAGGGGGGACATGATCACCACATTCAAGATTCTGAAGGGGATTGATAGGGTAGATAAAGACAGTCTATTTAACACAAGGGGAACACGCACAAGGGGACACAGGTGGAAACTGAGTGCCCAAATGAGCCACAGAGATATTAGAAAGAACTTTTTTAGTGTCAGAGTGGTTGACAAATGGAATGCATTAGGAAGTGATGTGGTGGAGGCTGACTCCATACACAGTTTCAAGTGTAGATATGATAGAGCCCAATAGGCTCAGGAATCTGTACACCTGTTGATTGACGGTTGAGAGGCGGGACCAAAGAGCCAGAGCTCAACCCCCGCAAACACAACTAGGTGAGTACAACTAGGTGAGTACAGACAGAGACAGACAGACAGACAGACAGACAGACAGACAGACAGACAGACGGGGTTGGAAACCGATAGGGAAAGAGAAATGCTTGAAATTCTAAACAATCCTCCCTGAGGTCATTCAGTAAATGTATCATCACAACACAGCCTCGTGTGTCATCACAACACAACCTCGAATGTTATGAAACACAACCTTGAGTAACACCACAACACAGCCTTTACCAGGCATCATAACACAGCCTTGAAAGGTGCAAACAACAGCAGAAAAGCGTTTACAATGAAGGGAAGAGTTTCCGAGAGCATCAGTCAGCTGCCGGACACACCGGAGGCTTGAAGGTCTACTGCGACCAGCAGGAGCATCAGGAACCTCTTGATCCAGTCCTCTTCGGTAGGTTATGTTCAAGACTCGTTCTGGCACTTATGATCACTCCTTCAGACGCCGCCATTTTGCGGCTCGTATCTTAAACTATATAGTTCTTCGCCGCTCTTATTCAAGTTCCTCGCCGCTCTAATTCTAGTTCCTCGCCGCTCTTATTCTAGTTCCTCGCCGCTCTTATTCTAGTTCCTCGCCGCTCTTATTCTAGTTCCTCGCCGCTCTTATTCTAGTTCCTCGCCGCTCTAATTCTAGTTCCTCGCCGCTCTTATTCAAGTTCCTCGCCGCTCTAATTCAAGTTCCTCGCCGCTCTAATTCTAGTTCCTCGCCGCTCTTATTCTAGTTCCTCGCCGCTCTTATTCTAGTTCCTCGCCGCTCTTATTCTAGTTCCTCGCCGCTCTTATTCTAGTTCCTCGCCGCTCTTATTCTAGTTCCTCGCCGCTCTTATTCTAGTTCCTCGCCGCTCTTATTCTAGTTCCTCGCCGCTCTTATTCAAGTTCCTCGCCGCTCTTATTCTAGTTCCTCGCCGCTCTTATTCTAGTTCCTCGCCGCTCTTATTCTAGTTCTTCGCCGCTCTTATTCTAGTTCCTCCCACCACAGTTGGCTGCCTTCCTCTGTACGCCACAGTTGGCTGCCTTCCTCTGTACGCCACAGTTGGCTGCCTTCCTCTGTACGCCACAGTTGGCTGCCTTCCTCTGTACGCCACAGTTGGCTGCCTTCCTCTGTACACCACAGTTGGCTGCCTTCCTCTGTACGCCACAGCTGGCTGCCTTCCTCTGTACGCCACAGTTGGCTGCCTTCCTCTGTACGCCACAGTTGGCTGCCTTCCTCTGTACGCCACAGTTGGCTGCCTTCCTCTGTACGCCACAGTTGGCTGCCTTCCTCTGTACGCCACAGCTGGCTGCCTTCCTCTGTACGCCACAGTTGGCTGCCTTCCTCTGTACGCCACAGCTGGCTGCCTTCCTCTGTACGCCACAGCTGGCTGCCTTCCTCTGTACGCCACAGTTGGCTGCCTTCCTCTGTACGCCACAGTTGGCTGCCTTCCTCTGTACGCCACAGCTGGCTGCCTTCCTCTGTACGCCACAGTTTGCTGCCTTCCTCTGTACGCCACAGTTGGCTGCCTTCCTCTGTACGCCACAGCTGGCTGCCTTCCTCTGTACGCCACAGTTGGCTGCCTTCCTCTGTACGCCACAGCTGGAGGCCTTCCTCTGTACGCCACAGCTGGCTGCCTTCCTCTGTACGCCACAGTTTGCTGCCTTCCTCTGTACGCCACAGTTGGCTGCCTTCCTCTGTACGCCACAGCTGGCTGCCTTCCTCTGTACGCCGCAGTTGGCTGCCTTCCTCTGTACGCCACAGTTTGCTGCCTTCCTCTGTACACCACAGTTTGCTGCCTTCCTCTGTACGCCACAGTTGGCTGCCTACCTCTGTACGCCACAGCTGGCTGCCTTCCTCTGTACGCCACAGTTGGCTGCCTTCCTCTGTACGCCACAGCTGGCTGCCTTCCTCTGTACGCCACAGTTGGCTGCCTTCCTCTGTACACCACAGTTGGCTGCCTTCCTTTTTACGCCTCAGTTTGCTGCCTTCCTCTGTACGCCACAGTTGGCTGCCTTCCTCTGTACACCACAGTTGGCTGCCTTCCTTTTTACGCCTCAGTTTGCTGCCTTCCTCTGTACGCCACAGTTGGCTGCCTTCCTCTGTACGCCACAGTTGGCTGCCTTCCTCTGTACGCCACAGTTGGCTGCCTTCCTCTGTACGCCACAGTTGGCTGCCTTCCTCTGTACGCCACAGTTGGCTGCCTTCCTCTGTACATCACAGTTGGCTGCCTTCCTTTTTACGCCTCAGTTTGCTGCCATCCTCTGTACGCCACAGTTGGCTGCCTTCCTCTGTCCGCCACAGCTGGCTGCCTTCCTCTGTACGCCACAGTTTGCTGCCTTCCTCTGTACGCCACAGTTGGCTGCCTTCCTCTGTACGCCACAGCTGGCTGCCTTCCTCTGTACGCCACAGTTGGCTGCCTTCCTCTGTACGCCACAGCTGGCTGCCTTCCTCTGTACGCCACAGCTAGCTGCCTTCCTCTGTACGCCTCAGTTGGGTGCCATCCTCTGTACACCACAGTTGGCTGCCTTCCTTTTTACGCCTCAGTTTGCTGCCTTCCTCTGTACGCCACAGTTGGCTGCCTTCCTCTGTACACCACAGTTGGCTGCCTTCCTTTTTACGCCTCAGTTTGCTGCCTTCCTCTGTACGCCACAGTTGGCTGCCTTCCTCTGTACGCCACAGTTGGCTGCCTTCCTCTGTACGCCACAGTTGGCTGCCTTCCTCTGTACGCCACAGTTGGCTGCCTTCCTCTGTACGCCACAGTTGGCTGCCTTCCTCTGTACACCACAGTTGGCTGCCCTCCTCCCACGCCACAGTTGGCTGCCTTCCTCTGTACGCCTCACTATGGAGACAGTCGTCACCCTCTGCATTAACTCCACATGTATACATATGTAACTTTGCCAAATATTACAGAGGAGGAATACATAACTATTTGTTAAATAATTGGTAAATTAAAGTTACTTAATGTGTTTTAGTGTATAATGGCGGGAGCAATGATGGCGTCAGTGGGGCGGCTGCTGGTGGCGGGCGTCCTGGTGGCGGGCCTCCTGGTGGCGGGCCTTCAGGGTGTCCTCGCCGTTCAGAGCACCGCGTCGACGCCCGGCGGAGGCCCCGGAGAGTACGCCGAGGCCTGGACGGAGATAGCCAACGTTCAGAACTGCAGTTACACAGGTACCCATACAGGTACAGTTGTGGTTAACCAGGATAACATGTTGATCAGACCACACACTAGAAGGTGAAGGGACGACGACGTTTCGGTCCGTCCTGGACTATTCTCAAGTCGACTTGAGAATGGTCCAGGACGGACCGAAACGTCGTTGTCGTCCCTTCACCTTCTAGTGTGTGGTCTGGTCAACATACTTTAGCCACGTTATTGTGACTCATCGACAGCATAACATGATTATATTTATTATATACATTTATCATCAATCAGAAAGAAGTCATGTTCATAAACAGACGAACAGGAAACTCGTTTCAAATCTTCCCAAACTCTCAATATCTTGTCCACCTTCCATTGCTGTTTATAACCTGCTTCAACCTCTGAGACATTGAGGTGACGTGGTTGTAGATTACCTGCGGATTACAGAGCCACAAGATCCCAGCACCGCTCCTGTGCCAGGTAAGTCCACTATGGGCTCACCATAGCCCGTGCTACTTGCTCCACTCCTGTGCCAGGTAAGTCCACTATGGGCTCACCATAGCCCGTGCTACTTGCCCCACTCCTGTGCCAGGTAAGTCCACTATGGGCTCACCATAGCCCGTGCTACTTGTCCCACTCCTGTGCCAGGTAAGTCCACTATGGGCTCACCATAGCCCGTGCTACTTGCTCCACTCCTGTGCCAGGTAAGTCACGGGCTCGCCATAGCCCGTGCTACTTGGAACTTGTTCCGAGTAGCTTAATCTATAACAACAACAGAGCCACAACTGCCAGTCGGCCAGCGTGTGGTGAAGCAGCCGTTGGTGGGGTCGCTCCCGCCTCGGCTCCCAGTTACTAACTATATTCCCCCATACATTCTCTATGGGGTCCATATCACAGCCTTTGTTGGGCCACTTGAGGAGCTCAGTATTGCGTTCTTCAGCAAACCATCGTCTGATAATGTCAGTAAGTTCTCCTACACCGAATACATGTATCCACCTCCATACATTGCACGATATATAACCACTCCTGACGATTTCATATATAAACTGTTGTTCATATGATGTGTTGTTAGGACGCCAGCAGTGTAATCTGCCATTAGTTGCTGACGTGAGTGTCCTCTCATGACTGAAGACTATGCGGGCCCAGTAATCTTCACTGATTACCCAGTAATTCAAGATCTGACAAAAGTCAATCTTGCTGCTCTATAGTACTCTTAAGTTTACCTTTTTTGGCGGGAATCCAGTGGTTCCCTCTAGTTCCTCTAGAGGGGTGATGGATGTCTGCACCACGAAGGTGGTCTCACACTGTGCGTCGACTCTAATCCCTATTGTAATCTAATACCTGTTCTTCCCTGATGGCAACAGCCATTCATAAAGGGAGACTGACGGTTGCATTCAAGGAACAGATGGTCTTCTTCAGAAGAGGTTTTTCTTGGTCCACCCAAGTGACGTTTGTCGTTCAAGTCCCTGGGTTCTTCCCACCGCCCCGCCACAGTCTAACAGTTGGCTTTGTAATTATTACAACTTGGAGTCTGTTGGGTTGAACAAGGTATAGGAGTACCATTTAAAGGGTAGGATAGGCCCGGCCCCCAGGGAAGCAGTTCCCAACAATAAATACATAAATATGGTCTGCAGTCTAGAACGGATCACCTAACCCTAATCAAGAGGGGTTACCTTACCTTGAGGTAAGGTAACCCCTTGAGGTAAGATAACCCCTTGAGGTAAGGTGGGGTGATGCAAACTCCCGGTAAATATGTTACCTAATTTATTATAACCCTAAAACCCCCCAAATACAACAGAATACTTCACCACCTCTACCTTACGTCACCTCTCTGACCCCACACAGGCAGAAGACGAGATTCACATACAGCAAACTAGAGGTAGTCTACGATTCCTTAAGGGACAATTTACCTTAACCTAAATAATTATAATTATATCAGGCATGTGTTCACTGGATCTAGATACAGGTTATGACCAGCGAATACAGACAAGGTTACACTTAGAACACGTGGTGGCACGTAGTAGTGGTACTTAACTTATTTATAAAACTTAAGAAGTAGAGCAGAAGGGGACGTCCAGACTGGCCCAACGTCGCGAACACAAGAGGCTGAAATTATTGTCACCACGTGGCTGGTTGCCTGGCTTGATCAGCTGATCGTACTCTCTAATACAACATTTAATTGTCATCATTCAATTCTAAGTATAAATATATCATCATTAGATTTACAATACACTACACCAAGTATCATCACAGTGTAATTAAAAAGCTAGGAGCATCAAAATACTCTTACGTCTGGCAAGGACGCAATCGCCCGCCATATACAAATTTAGTAACAAATCTTGTGTATAAAACTACCAGACAATTAACACTCCTTCTTATACAAGCCTATCTAAAAACTCTAATTTATAAAACAATTTTCCAACATATAATCTCAACACATTCAGGGCCTATCAAAGTAACATGCATACGTGAAGGGTCTCTATTTCATCTATATGTAAACAATAACAAATGCCATACGATCCTGGGTCCATCTGCCACAGTACAGTACTGGGCCCAGGGTCGTAACAGTAATTCCAAGTTCTCCAGCGATGGCGGCGATTGACATGCCTCTCTCAATCACTCTCATAGCAACTATTGCCCCTCGTTGACATAGCCTTTCATCCCTGGAGTTCATCCCTGATAAAGAGTCTGCACTCTGGAGTTGACTCGTGGATTGGTCTGGGGAGAGTGAAGGGCTCACATTCCTTCACCCGAACGACGATTTCCGCTATAGTTTGATGGTTAAACAGCCATTGTAGGAAACTGGCTTGTTTTTAGAAGCACTAGTTTGTCGAATAGCATACTTCATCATGTAGTCCATGTTGAGTATAAGATATTCATCACATGACAACGAATTACTCGCGTAATATGACCAGACATTCCACATGTCTTACCTTGCGTAAGGCAAGGTAAATGTCTGCCATATTAATAACGTAAGTGTCTTTGTGGCTCTGTCTGTTTCTCTCTCTCGCGTAATTATTTGCTCAACTATGCATACTATTACATAATTAATTAGGAAATTAAATACATTAATTTAATAATAGTAGTTCTCAGGAATATAATACACATTACATAGACCCTATTCATTTCACTTTGTCTTCCAGCTGTCAAAGTAAACAATGATAATGAATAATAATACTTTATGATTCTCCCGCCAATTTCTGATATTGATATTTAATTAGTTTTTGATACCATTATTCGTCTAAAGTATATCAACTATATTCACAAATGTAAATGTTTGCAAACTACTTTTAACTTGTCCTGCCCGAAACGTTTTGCGTAATAGTGGCTTTAGGCTTTGTATGTACTATCTCTATCTATAAATCTATCAATTTTTGTATAACCTCTTATATGTATGTACTTTACCTGAATAAACATTTGAATTTGAATTTGAAAACTTGAAAAAAACGGTTTGTGTTGACTGACGGCCAACGACGACGGTCAAGGGAGCGTTGTGTGTGACGCCACGTCGTCTCTGCCTCACTCAGGCAAATGCCAAAACGTAAAATTATCATCCGTTATATAATTTACACAACAGGTAAAAAAAACTCTTTTGCACAAAAGTAGAGCCGTTTCCCCTTTTCACTAATGCACATATATTAATTTTTATTCATAGCTCTACACTATTTTCCTTTCGATAGCAGTGTGAATTATGTAAACTGGTGTGTGGTTTTTTTGACCCATGAAACTCATCGTTATAAAGTGCCTAATCATTCATAATCTAATTCATTACTACAACAACAGACGCGGCGTTGCCATTTTGCACGTTCCACGAAACCGAGGAGTAATTAAGGAATCCAGCCCGTCCTCATAAACAAAGATCCAAAAGTGATTCCATGCACCCGCCAAACCCCCTGTTTATGAATGAAAAACGATTTACACACGACTCACAACTTATTTCATTCGAACACTTCCGGAACAAGTGCTTCACTGACGACTTGTGTTCGAACCACAACGCTGTAAATGCTTCACCCACGTACTACAAATACAAATAATCGCCAACAGAACCTAAACACCTAACCTAACCTATGTCTAAATATACACAACATGCTAATATATATTATAATAATAATTTTTATTTGAGAACATTCCCGTTTTGAATGAACAGCATGTTCAAATTTATGAATGCGTCTGTGGGGTCGACCGCTGGATGGAATGAATTTGGTGTGGGATGTAGTTGAATAATCGCCAACAGAACCTAATCACCTAAACTAACCTAGCCTAACTATACATAGAACTTTTATGTATAATAATATTAATTTATATAAAACAAAACAATTTTTAATACACAGTCTGCAGACTTAACACTTCTCTTGTGTTAAGTCTAAAGAAGACTTCTCTTTGTGTCTAAAGAACACAAGAGAAGTGTTAAGTCTGCAGACACTAACAATGCTCTCTTCTGTCATGTGAAGGATTCTAATCATCCCATTGATTGGTCTTCCTCCAACATAATCTTTCCTGCCTCTACTCTACACAGACGCCGTCTTGTAGAATCGGCTCTAATACACAATGTACCCAACATGAACTTGAGTCCTGGCTTTGTTGCTGTGGACTCTTCCCTTTCACAGTATATACTCAAATGCTCTAATCTTTCTAACAAACCTGACCTAACATAATCTTACCCTTCCATTTATCTTTCTTTCTTTTTCCTTTTCTTTCTCTCTTCTCTCTGTTCATTGTTTTCTCTTACGTTTCCTTGCTATCTTCTTATTCCTATTACTATCCCCTTCTCATTCGGTGGTCATTCCCATACGAGGAGCTGCCTCGTATGGGCCAATGGGCCTTCTGCAGTTCTTATTCCTACTACTATCCCCTCTACTACACCTTACCATTCGTACCTTTTGCCTTGCTCCTCACGTCTCTCTCTTGCCTATTTATTGCCTGCATCATCACCACCATCTGGTGGGATTAGACGTTAAGATGTAAGTCTCGTCCTCACACACTTGGTCCGGGAGACATCTCCCGTCACGCAGGGTGCAGTTGCACCTCCACAGATCTCCAGTATCAGCTCTTGATACTGGTAATGGCTCAAAAGGGCCACCACTTACGAGCTATTCATGCCCGTGCCACCTTTTGGGTGGCTTCATCTTCATCTTCTTCATCTGTTTAAAACACGGGAAACATCTCCCGTCACGCTGGGTGCAGACGCACCTCCACAGATCTCCAGTATCATCTATTGATACTGGTGATGGCTCAAAAGGGCCACCACTTACCAATTCATGCCCGTGCCACCTATTGGGTGGCTTCATCTTCTTCTTAACACATTCACAAGGGAAACATCTCCCATCATGCAGGGTGCATTCGCACCTCCACAGATCTCCAGTATCAGCTCTTGATACTGGTAATGGCTTAAAATGGCCACCACTTACGGGCTATTCATGCCCGTGCCACCTTTTGGGTGGCTTAATCTTCATCATCATCATCATCACCATCTGGTCCAAAAAGAGACATCTCCCGTCACGCAGGGTGCAGTCGCACCTCCACAGATCTCCAGTATCATCTATTGATACTGGAAATGGCTCAAAAGGGCCACCACTTATGGGCTATTCATGCCCAAGCCACCTTTTGGGTGGCTTAATCTTCTCTCTCTCTCTCGTTTGTCCACCGTCTGGTCACCATTTGGTCCGGGAGACATCTCCCGTCACGCAGGGTGCAGTCGCACCTCCACAGATCTCCAGTATCATCTATTGATACTGGTAATGGCTCAAAAGGGCCACCACTTACGAGCTATTCATGCCCGTGCCACCTTTTGGGTGGCTTCATCTTCATCTTAACACATCCACCAGGGAGACATCTCCCGTCATGCAGGGTACATTCGCACCTCCACAGATCTCCAGTATCAGCTCTTGATACTGGTAATGGCTTAAAATGGCCACCACTTACGGGCTATTCATGCCCGTGCCACCTTTTGGGTGGCTTAATCTTCATCAATCATCAATCATCTGTCATCGAAACCTCCACAGATCTCCAGTATCAGCTCTTGATACTGGTAATGGCTTAAAATGGCCACCACTTACGGGCTATTCATGCCCGTGCCACCTTTTGGGTGGCTTAATCTTTATCAATCAATCAATCAATCCCTCATCCACACCGCTCCTTTGCGAGGTAAGTCCACTACGGGCTCCCATAGCCTGTGCTACTTGCCCCGCTCCTGTGTCAGGTAAGTTTTACGGGCTCACCATAGCCCGTGCTACTTAGAACTTGTTCCGAGTAGCTGAATCTATAATAACAACAACAACTCCCTCATCACACGGGAGACATCTCCCGTCACGCAGGGTGCAGTTGCACCTCCACAGATCTCCAGTATCATCTATTGATACTGGTAATGGCACTTACGGGCTATTCATGCCCGTGCTACCTTTTGGGTGGTTTAATCTCCATCAATCAATCACCTTTTAGTGTGTGGTCTGGTCAACATACTTCAGCCACGTTATTGTGACTCATCGCCTGCACCACTAGAGTGTGTTCAACACCACTGGAAGGTGTTCAACAACACTGGAAGGTGTTCAACACCACTGGAAGGTGTTCAACATCACTGGAAGGTGTTCAACATCACTGGAAGGTGTTCAACACCACTGGAAGGTGTTCAACATCACTGGAAGGTGTTCAACAACACTGGAAGGTGTTCAACACCACTGGAAGGTGTTCAACATCACTGGAAGGTGTTCAACACCACTGGAAGGTATTCAACAACACTGGAAGGTGTTCAACAACACTGGAAGGTGTTCAACAACACTGGAAGGTGTTCAACAACACTGGAAGGTGTTCAACACATTCTTCAACGCTGTTTTCAAACGAGGTTTACGTGGGAGTTTCAGAGTCCAAACTTTACCAATTTAAATATGGGACTGGAAATAGGGTTGTTGATCTCTGGAACAGTTCACCGAGTATAGCATGATTGACGGAGGTCCGTAGCCTCCTGTGGAACACCTCCTCGCGTGTATATGGCAAGCTATCCTGACTAATGGTACTATTAATAACAATTATAGCTAGTAGTCGAGATAGTATGTAAGAACTGAGGTAATAGCTAGTAGTGCATAAATTCTTAGTTTTGCTTCAGGAAAGATCTATGCGTGATCAAAGAACGATACAGTTATGAGGTACAAGCAAATTAATAACAAAAAATATTCATGACATTAAAAATTAATATTAATCACAAAGAATATGCATTAGTATTAATTTAAGGTATGGCGCACAAGGAAATAACAACAATGTGATATATCGATATATCTACAATTGAAATGTTTGGAGCAGGCCGGTGGGATGGAAGGTCTGGGATGACCCGGGATGCTGCTTCCATCCCGCCGACCTGCTGCAAAGATTTTATCTTAGATGATGATCATTTGAACGTTTATGTCTACCAGGTGGCAGCTGCCCCGCTCCCTACGTGAGGCTGCTGGGAGGCGAGTGCTTGTTCGTCAGCAAGCACGCCCTCTCCTGGCTCCAGGCCCGCGAGCACTGCAAGGGACTCATGGGCGACCTGGCCACACCCAAGAATCTCTTCATCCTCAAGAACTACATTATCCACAACCCTGGTTTGTGTCACCCCTTGGGTTAACTGTGCATCTACCTGTACTATGCTCTTACAAGATATCTTGACTTGTTTGTGTTTTTTAGAGTCAGCTACCTGGAACAAAGTGAGCCCGTAGTGGACTTGTATCTTGACTTAGTATTGACTCACACAGATTACAGTGGCATTTCGGCAGTGTTCCTGGGAGGCAGGAAATATCAGGGTCGCTGGTGGTGGTTGGACGGAAGGCAGATTTCATCCGAAGACTTCGCTGAGGGCGAACCCAACAACTATTTTGGGAGAGAAGACTGCATCGACTTACGCCTCAGCAGGCATCCGATGTTGAACGATAACAAATGCAATTCCCCCACGCCCTTCGTGTGCCGGTACTGCGACTTCGAGTGAGGCCGCTCACTAGCAACACGTCTCTCATTCTTTCCTGCTCTCACTTTCCAGTTTATGTCACTGCTTACCTCTGTACGTTGGTATTGAACTAAGTGCATGAGGCATTCAGTTGCTACCATCTTTGCTTGTGATCTCCTAATCAGACACCGTTGCCCACTTTGTGTATATTCAGTCAGTTCTTGTCTGACAACAGTACAGTCATTAATGACACAGACGCTGGTAGCTTCATCACTGTGAATAGTTGCGATGACTAACCATCCTGTGTGATGGGGATTTTTTAGCATCACGTAGCTACCTTTTTGACACACTGTACTCCCCTTCATATAGCCTAGGGCAGCTGCACAAATACAGATGTACCTAATGTATTAATAATAAAAAAAAGTGATGAACAACCAGCCTGTGATGAATAACCAACCTGTGATGAACAACTAGCCTCAGGAACCCTTCCTTAACACCTGTTTAACAGTTAAGTTTGTCACAACTTCAACAGTCGTCCAATAATGCCAGTACTCCGTAGTAACTATATTCCCCGGACGTACACAAATCAACTGAAGTAGCCAAAATAAGTTCACGTAGTGATAATTTGGTAGAGGGCGTGAGGGAAAAAAGCAACAACCAAATCAAAACGTTGCTAGGCTTAGTGTAGACATATATATATACTAAATTAGGCCTAAGGTGGCGTACGCTAGGCTTAGGATTGCTTATTTTAGGCAAAGGACAGTTTTAGCTCTACTTTTTGGCATGTCAAAATGTGATTTTTTTGGTAGAAGACGCCATTATACGCTCAACCATTATAGTTGGTATAACGTCTATAATTTTTGGAGGATGGGTTGGAGAAATTATCTGTTCAGTGTATGAAGTATTAACAAGGTGAGTGTCCTTAAGGTTTACATAAATGAATACATATGATTTTTTTGATGATGGTAAATATGTATTTAAGACCCCATATCCATCCTGTGGGCGATTGTGAAACTATTATAGAGATATGAATAAAGAGATAAAATAATAGAGATTTGAATAAAAAACCAATTCTCCTATCCAATGACGATGGTGTGCTTTCGGCCTCTGACACTGCTATTGAATTCAATAGGTTCTTTTCATCCATTGGGACATCCCTTGCACATGATATTCCATCCTCACTTACTAATATTAAAGACTACCTTACAGGTAACTATCCAGAGTCTCCTGTACCTAGCTCCCGCTAATTCCTCTGATGTTAATGAGGTAATCCTTTCCCTTAAAACTAAGTCAAGCGCCCTTGATGAGATAGAATCTCTAATTTACAAAAAAGCCACCAGATTTCTAGCTCCTGCCATTGCACTGCTCTTCAACAAGTCACTTGAACTCCAAACCTTTCCGGATATTCTAAAAAAAGCGAGGGTAACCCGTCCATAAATGTGGTGATCTCACTGATGTCAACAAATACAGACCTATCTCAATTCTGCCAACTTTGTCAAAAATATTTGAAAAGCTAATCTACAAGCAGCTTTACTCATATCTAGCCAGACTCAATATACCTAGCTCTTGCCAATATGGTTTCAGACCCAATAAAAGCACTAACGATGCACTTATTAGTATGATTAACTTGATACATACAGTTCTTGATAAAAATGAGTTCCCTGTTGGGTTGTTTGTGGACCTGCGTAAGGCTTTTGACACTGTCAACCACCAAAACCTTCTTCTTAAATTACAACATTATGGAGTCAGAGGACACTCCCTCCAATACCTTCAGTCTTACCTTACTGACAGGCTCCAGTATTTTTCTGTGAATAATCCCATTTCTCCCATCCTACCCATCAACATTGGTGTTCCACAGGGCAGCATACTTGGCCCTCTCCTCTTTCTTATCTACATTAATGACCTTCCAAATGCCTCCCAACACCTCAAACCAATCTTATTTGCTGATGACAACTTTCATTTTCTCCAGTCCTGACCCCCCTTGCTCTAATTGTCACTGTGAATACTGAACTAAATAAAGTCCATCTTTGGCTAACTACTAGCAAACTCACCCTTAACATTGACAAAGCTTTCTATATTTTGTTTGGTAATAAATCCTCAAATGAAATTAATGTAAGAATAAGCAATATACAAATCAGTAGTAAAGTTGATGGTAAATTCCTTGGTGTCCTTATTAATAACAAGCTGAATTTCCAGGGACATTTTAAATATAGCAAAAAAAAGTTTCTTAAACTGTTGGCATTCTTTCTAAGATCAGCTATTATGTACCTCGCCCTGCCCTGGTGACGCTCTATTACTCCCTCATCTTTCCTTATCTCAACTATGGTATTTGTGCTTGGGGTTCTACTATCCAAAATCATTTACGTCCTCTAATCACTCAACACAAAGCTGCTATTAGGACAATATCTAACTCTGGCCCCACACATCACTCAGTACCCCTACTCAAACCTCTGAATATATTAGATATTAAGTCACTGCACATCCTCTCATGTGTACTCTATATATTTAAAACTCTGAATTGTAATGTCAATCCTGACCTTAAAAGCTTCTTAGAAGGTTGTAACAGAACCCATGAGCACATGGGCACCACACCAGAAACAAATACCTATTTGATATTCCAAGAGTACGACTTAATCAAACTAGAAATGCTTCAAAAATCAAGGAACCCAGAATGTGGAATGACCTTCCCAATCATGTCAAAGGCTGTACCTCTCTCAACCCATTTAAGATAAAAACTAAGTACTACCTAATTAACTGCATGTAACCTACCTTACCCCCTAAATGTCAACCCTTGTCTTACTATTTTTAAACAATGCTGTTTGTTGACCAACTTGTGCATTGACTATTTTCTACCATGTTCCCCTCCTTTTTTATCTTATTTTTTTTAATGCAATTTATACTTTAAGCTCAATTACTATTAAGTTTTATTCTAAGTGTTTTTCCCCCACCTCACCCTAACATAATCCAACATTATGTTTGTAAATCAACTATGTATGTACTTTCCTGAATAAAATTTACTTTACTTACTATATGTAATGTATATTCAGCTCAGCAATTTACAGTTTGGGAATTTTAAAAAGATCTAATTATTGTACCATTTTTTTAAACATAAATGTTGACATTTCTTAATTATTTGTGACATATTTTAAGATGTGAATAATTTATATTTACTACTCAAATACTTAAGGTAAATTGCTTAAGGTAACCTTTGTGTTTCAAAACACTCAAAAAGCCTAACTCCCGGTTCAAAATAATCCCATAAATCTGTTCACAAGATTCAGTATAATGTTGAAATTGTATTTATAAAATTATGAGCATTTAGTGTCTCATTACCTTTATGACATATCGGAAAATAAAGTGAATAACTATCTTGTGGTTGTTTTGCATTCATATTGCCTCTCCTTGCAAGCCTTTATTAAGCGAGTTTACTAATTACTGGCTTTGATTGGTAATACTATCACACTAAGAGCTCCTAGGAGGATTCTCTACCTTCTGGGCATCACTTGACATCAGAAATATTCTTTTTTATTTACATCTTAAATATTTATTTACATCTTAAATATTTATTTACATCTTAAATTATTATTTACTGAGTATTATGTACTTTCTGCATTTATTGTCATCTAATTTCTTGCATTTCTTTGTTAAAGTGTTTACTCGTATCCTTTTTGTTCCTGGTTCATTGATAGTGTTGGCTCCATTGACTTTACATTACCATATTACTCTATGTCCCAAGAAATATGTTAGGAGAAAGAGACCAGTTGTTTTTTCTAAACTACATCTTGTATTTCCATTAATGTAAATAAACTACTGTACTATTGCCATAACTGCTGACTCCATATTGTAATAGTCTATGCCTGTCACCCTTAAGTATCACTTGTTTTGCATTCATGTGTTATTTTCCACAAACGATCTCACCTTGTTTAGTTTAATTCTCCTTCAGTATTAAGTGTTTTACCCCCTCACATATTTAGCTAAATTTTTGCTGTCTATATTTTGTTTTGCCATTAACACTTTGCGTGATAGGCTTCATTAGTATGTGCATCTTCTGTCCTTACATTTGTACATTACTCTTATCTTTTTTGTACACAGATTCTTCTCAATAAACATTGAATTGATTGAATTTTACTATTTAATAGTATTTTTTCAAGACAGTTTTGGGGAAGTGTAAGAGTTTCTCCATATTAGATTATATCTCACCGGTGACCAGTTTAAGTGAAAACTGTTCCAGATATTTCTAATTGGAATCTGTCAGCTTCCACTTCAACTACCACTCATAACTGTACCGAATGAGTCATTCCTTAACAGGGGTATTGCTTAAAAGAATTCAGTTTGATACGTCAGGCTGCGAGTAGCTGCGTTTAACAACCTGATTGACCGCTATCACTTATCTCCCCATTTTTGGAGGACGGGCTGCACCAACCACAAGGCCTCTGGGGCCAGATTCACGAAAGCAGTTACGCAAGCACTTACGAACCTGTACATTTTTTCTTAATCTTTGGCGGCTTTGTTTCCAATTATTAAACAGTTAATGAGCTCCGAAGCACCAGGAGGCTGTTTATAACAATAACAACAGTTGATTGGCAAGTTTTCATGCTCGTAAACTGTTTAATAAATGTAACCAAAGCCGTCAAAGATTAAGGAAAGATGTACGCGTTCGTAAGTACTTGCGTAAGTGCTTTCGTGAATCTGGCTCCTGGTCACAGACCGCGAACATTTATCCTCGGAACTAACACGAGGCCTATAGCGTTTTATTAATTGCAAAATTTATCAAAATAATTTTGTATGGTGATGTTATTGTGGCGGGGAATAATAGTGAGGTGGTGATGGTAATGATAATAGTGACTGGTGATCTACCAGTAACCCAGCTCTGTGTACTGGGGCTCGAGATTATTTTGAAATTAAAACAAATAAAAAACAATGCGGAATCACCTATATATTGATTTTTTTTAATTCAAAGGAAGTAAATTGTTATAAAATACTATATTACAAAAAACAACAAAAATACCCATTCATAAATAACTGTAGCGAGTAATTCTTATACTCGCTCCATTATCTCATCATCTTAATAGCATAACTAATTAGCACTAATTACAGAAGCTACAATCCTTTCCCCAATTACAGGCAATACTCATCTCTTCTTGTTGGAGGGAGCCGAGGTGTAATCACCATATAAGCAAGCGATATGAGGAATGGAGGACAGTACAATTCCCACAGTCAACAATGTAACACTCGGTGTGTACAGTCCTAATCGACCCAAGACGCTACAGCTTCGACACAGAGCAGACAGCAGACTACGACCGCATCGAGCCACCACGCTCTCGCTCCCCGAGTTCAGACACTCACAATCCTCAATCGAGCCGCCACGCTCTCCCACATAGAGCTCCACGACTCCGGCCTCACTCAGCTCTCTGCTCTGCTCCAGGCTTCGTCTCAACGTCTACGACACTGCTGTATCCAGGACTACTAAATAAATATGAAAACTCACTAAACACTGTGTATCTAAAGCTACCCAACAACGTAACATAATCGTACGTTACATAACCTTTTACAATCAACTAATGACCCTATACAGCCACTTAATCCCTTAATTGATCCCAAAAGTCATCTTGGGGACCTATGTTTTAGTCCCTAAGGAGTAATTACGCCCTGTATGACCATCTCCTCTACTCAGCCTCACTCTTAGGACTATTTAAGCTGCTCCTGAAACAACTCACTTCACAGCACTGCGTGTCATTCACATTTTATTTGTATATATAAGGGTTCTTACATTCTTGTAAAGCCACAGCACGCATAGCATTTCGGGCAGGTCCTTACTCATAATTTTCCCAGGAACACGACCCAGGGAATAAGGCTCTCCTGAACTCCAGAGCAGCATCCGCCACTTCTGGAGGCTGTCTTTGCATCAGATTGATGCTTGATGAAGATTAAGCCACCCAACTAGGTCATAAAAGTATTTGTGTGTACGTCTGTTACCATACTACTTGTGTAAAGGAGGAAATGTATATATTTATCTCTCAGAATGTTTGGTAATATGTTTATTGTTTG